CCAGTATCTAATCTCTGATGCTAGTATCAAGAATAATTTGTTCTTGGTGGGCACAAACTATCTCTGACACTACCATGAAGAATAATCTGTTCTTGAGGGGAGGAGGGAAAGGGAGCTGGAACATCTTTACAAACTGCCTTTGGGGGGGGAGGGGCTTTCAGGTAACCCTTGTCACATGCCCCACTCTTCCCTTAAGAGTTCACTGGAAATCAGTGTACATACCTTCACAGGAATCCAAATGTTTCTTAAATTTATATGTTGAGCCAGCTCTCATCTTACATCAATAAATGTCTTATAAACATTTATTCTGTGCCAGGCATGGTACCAATGACTTCATAGATGGTCTTGCTAATCCTTGTTGCAACTTAAATATAAGAAACTAAGGTTCTGAGCAGTTAGGTCACCTGCTCAAAGTCACAGAGCCAGTGAACAAGAGAGAAAGATTTCAATCCTATGCTCTTTCTACCACGTCACATGGCAATTTAACAGTAGCCTCACTTTAATATCAAAGATGCCACATCAATCTGCAATCCCAGAATCTGGTAAACTAGATTGCATTTGATCTGTCGAAATCATTCTGGAGTTTATAGACTTTGTCTTCTTTCTCTCAACTTTCACACCCCAATATCCAGTCAATAACTGAGTCCTTCCTTAATCTCTCTCCCATGGCCAGTTTAGCAGAATCCAAGTTAGTCGGTTCTCAGCCTGGTCTGCAACAGATTTCAGGGTAGCTCAGCCCCAAATCTAGATGGCCAAGGGACTGGTAATATATTTAGCCTGAATGATTTCTACTTGATTTTCCCATTCTCCTTAAATTCACCCCGCACATACACCACCGTATATGTACGTGCTGTACAAACACTGCTTCATTGAGTCACCCATGTTAATAAGGACTTCCTAAATAATTTTAAATGATTAAGAGGGGATTATAGGAGCCTCTAGGGAAAAGTATGCCTAGTCAGGAAAGTAAATGTCATCATTTTCTACATACATCAAACCTACTTCCCTCCAAACGTACGATTTGTTCTTTCCTCCCTATCTCAGTGAGTGGCATGACCATCCACCCTGATGCTGTCACGGACTCCCTGTCGAGGTTATTGTCAGTGTGCCCCCATGTCTCTGCAACATACCCATTCCCTACCTTCTCTGCCTGCTTTGTGTCCTGGAGACAACAGTCAGAATCTCCAATACTCTCTAATCCTCTATCTTCTAGAAATTAGACTTATCTATGTTTTATCAATATGAACCTATGGGCTTGGGCAATGGAGAGCCCTTGCAGAAGCCTCAAAGGAAGGAGGAGAGTAAGGTCAGGGCTCCCTTCCTAGGAGCTGCCTTGGACTTGCTGCATCTCTTGGCCTAAGATAACAGATTCTCTTGAGGTAGCCTTCTTCACATGACTTCACCTTTTAGATTCTGGTGACCATTCCTCCCCTTCTTTAGGTCTAGGGCTATAACAATCTCACTGTTATTAATCCCAGGCATTCAGACTGCCCTCATCTTTCTAAAACATAAGTTGTCTTATGTTTCCTTCTGATACATTTCCTTCATAATGCCCTTACAGGCCTGAAGTGGCAAAGTTCCCCTTTGTTAGTGGGCCTAGGTGCATCTCAAAATCCCTTCTTCACATCCTCAAATAGTCCCTCCTTTATATTTTCTTTAAAACATCTAGTGGAAGGCTTTGACTTCCAGCCAACAGGCAGTAACAAGAACCATATTTACCCCCCTGCTTAAAAACAAGCAAACAAACAAAAGAAGAATAGAAGAAAATGTACGCAACAAAGGTTCTGAGGACATTGGACATCAGGCAACAGAGTCCAATAATTACAGAGAAATAGAAAAAAATGAGAAGTCCTGCAATTGCTTAAGACTAACGCCTAGGAAACGTTTTCAGACTGTGGCACGGGAAGGGGGAATGCAGGCAACGCCCAGCAGTCTCCCCGAGCTGAGGAGACAAAGCTGGGAGCCTGTGGAGAGTATAAAGGCTCGAATCTTGGGGCAGTGTACAAGAGGGGACAGAGCTACACAGAGAGAATACCAGAGAACTGCAAAGGGTACTCCTCAAGTGCTCAGGAGAGTACCAACCACTGCACGTGTGTGAGGAAACTATCTGAGGCAAAAGGACTGGCGTGAACAATTAGTGGCTTCACACAGACTAGGAATAGTCCTATTCACACCAACCAAAGTATAAAACCTTCTAACTCACAGGGCATTGGATAGAGTACAAATTATATCAAACATTTAAAGAAAAATTAATGAAATCCTTGTCAAACTGTTACAAAAAATTAAAAAGGAGACAATAATTCCAAATGCATCTCACAAGGCCACCATTACCCTGATACCAAAGTCAGGCAAACATTACAAGAAATGGACATTACAGACCAATATCCACGATGAACATAGATGCAAAAATCTCCAATAAAATACTAGCAAGCCAAATTCAACCTCACATTAAAAAAAATCATTCACCACAATCAAGTGGGTAACTATCCCTGTAATACAAGGATGCTTCAACATATGCAAATCAATAAATGTGATATAATACATTAAAAGAATAAAGGATAAAAAGCATATTATCATCTCAATAGATGCAGCAAAAGCATCCCACAAAATTCAACACCTTTTCATGGTAAAAACTCTCAACAAATTAGATCTAGAAGGAATGCACCTCAACATTATAAAGACCATATGTTACAAGCTCACAGCCAACAGCACAATCAATAGTAAAAGGCTGAAAGCTTTTTCTTTAAGATCAAGAACAAGACAAGGATGCCCACTCTCACCACTTCTATTTGACACAGTACTGGAAGTCCTAACCAGAACAATCACAAAAAAAAAAAAAAAAAAGAAAGAAATAAAAGATATCCAGATTAAAAACAAAAGAGTAAAATTGTCTGTTTGTAGATGACATGATCTTATATAAAGAAAACCCCGTAACGACTCCACCAAAAAACTATTAGAAATAATAAACAAATTCAGTAAAGCTACAGGACACAAAATCAACATATAAAAATCAGCTATGTTTATATTTGCTAACAATGAAGTATCCTAAAAAGAAATTAAGGAAACAATCCCACTTACAATAGCACCAAAAAGAATAAAATACTTAGAAAGAAATAAATTTACCAAGGAGGTGAAAGATCTATACACCAAAAACTATAAAACACTGATGAAAGAAACTGAAGAAGACACATATAAATAGAAGGATATCCCATGTTCATGGATTGGTAGAAATAATATTGAAATATCCATACTACCCAAAGCAATCTGCAGATTCAATGTAATCCCTATCAAAATACCACTGGCATCTTTCACTGAAATACACAAAACAACCCTAAAATTCATATGTAGCCACAAAAGAATCTGCATAGCTACAGCAATCTTGAGAAAGAGAAAGTTGGAAGACATCACACTTCCTGATCTCAAATTATATTACAAAGCTGTAGTAATCAACATAATATGGTATTGGCATAAAAACAGACACACATGCTAATCAAATCAACAGAGAGCACAGAAATAAACCACACATATACAGTCAACTAATCTTCAACAAAGTCATCAAAAATTCACAATGGAGGAAGGGCATTCTCTTCAATAAATGATGTTGGGAAAACTGGACATCAACATGTAAAAGAATGAAATTGGATCCTCAGCTTACACCATACATAAAAATCAACTCAAAATGGATTAAAGACAAAAACTAAGAAGTGAAACCTTAAAACTCCTAGAAGAAAACATACATGAAAAGTTTCCTGACATTAGTCTTGACAAGGATTTTTTGGTTATGACATCAAAAGCATAGACAACAAAAGCAAAAATAAATAAGACCACATCAAATTAAAGTTTCTGCACAGCAAAGGAAACAATCAGCAAATTCTTCAGTAAAACTGCTACAAAATATCACACTTGAGAATACCTTTTGGGTCCCAGTGGCACCTTGACTGCCACATTCCTTCATCCCCTACATTCAATCAGTAATTATAATAATTCCTAACCATTCTATTATCCTAATCTCTCTCCATTTTCATAACTATTACATAACCCTCTCACCTATATGACTACAATAGCATCTCTCCAGGCTTCACTACGCCAATTCATTCTCTACTCTGCAGCCACAATTAATTTTCTAAAACATAAATCTAAGCATGTCATGAATTGCCCTGGAGATATATCCCAAACTCCCTCAAGATGATTCACTAGACCCTTCCTGATCTGGCCCTCTTACCCTCCCTAGCCTGGTATCTGGTGATTTCCCACCTCACCCTTCCCTGCCTAGCCATATTAATCAACCACATTCCACACTTTTGTAGCTTTTTATCTGCTGTTCCGATTCATACATACCTCTTCCCTTTGTCAAACCCGCTCATACTCAGGCTTTGGAACTTAGCTCCAGTATCATCTCCTCTAGGATATCTTCCCCAAACCCCATATTGAACCATGTGCCCTTCTCTCCACTCCTGAGAATCTTCTGCATACCCTGCCATAGCACTAAATCTCAGTATCATATAATCTCTCATTAAACTGGATCCAGGCAGACTGGATGAAAGCTTGAAAGCAGAGACGAAGTCTTACTCATCTTTACTTTCCCAGAGCCTACCATAGTGGTGCTCCCAGAATATCAGTGAACAAATGAATGAATAAAGAACTGATTTAGATGATCTCTGTTTACACCACCTGGGTTGATTCTATCTCCCTCCATTATAAAAAAAGATGGGCAGGAGAGAGGTTAAGTGATCTCTTAGCATATCCTGGTAAAATAATCATTTCAAATTCCCTTGGGAGGTCCCACTCTGGCTGGAAGTTGAAGGGCAAGACTCATTACCTCAAATTGTTTTAAAAACCATCTGGTAATTGACTGTGATTTGAACTAAGTGAAAGGTTGGGGAAAGGGAACCAAATTCTGGGAAAAGACAAAGCCCACAGCAAAAATTAACACAGGCAGGAAGGCTGAGTGTCCTCCCCGTAAATGTCTTAATTTCAACCAGAAAGACACAGCTCCTCACCCTCTGTTATTTCCGTCTCTCAGTACACATGTTTTGACTTCTGAGTCCAGCTAGGGAGGCTCCCAACCACCCTCCTCCTCAAAATCCGTCTCCAGGCCCTGGGCTCTGTTACCCCAATCATCCTTAATAGCAGTCCTCCAAGCCTCCCACTAGGAGGTCCTGCTCAGCTGGCCCTTCCAACAGCCAGGCCAGCAGCCACCAGGTCAAGGGCCAAGCGTGAGTGCCACATTAATGCGAGACTCCCAGAAGACCAAGGGGCAGGCATCAGGCTGGAAGACTGGGCCAGTACGTTAAAAAGGAAAAAAAAATCAGGATATACACTTGTGGATCATAGGGAAGAGGGGGAAAGCAAGCAATAAACAAAAGAAAGCAAAACTCTACCATTTAAATAAAGGCCACAAAGTATGAGAAACTTTCCGTCTTTCTTACTATCTGCTATTAAAGAGCATAATCACTTCCCCACTCCTAATTTCATACTTTAAAAAATAACGTAAAGATAACCGCTCTTCCTATTTTGGTCGGGAATGATGAAATTTACTTTAGGAATGAAATCTGTGTTAAGACGTCAAGAAGTGCTTTAGTGGAAAATAGCCAATGATTAGGAAAAATTCACGCATGTTGCATCTTGCCGATCCTTAAATAAAAGCGAAATTAATGAAACTTGAAAGACATCCCTGGGCCTTTCGTGCTCAGGATAACTGTAACCAAACAGCTTTATCCCATCTAAACTAAACTGCACCTCAAACATCATCACGAGCTGCTGGGAGCATTTAAAGCTACAAGCAACACTGGCCTAAAAATGCCTTAGGTAGCCGGATTTGAATTAAAGGGCTCCAAAACTGCCTGGAAAAATGTCCTAAAAGGAGGAGGAGGGAGGGGGAGGGTAAAAAGGAGGAGAGTAAGAGAGGAACTGAACCTAGTTAACTGGACAGTAACCGCAGGCAGAGCACCCTGGGTTCCAAACGTGTAATGGGCAGCCTTGCAGATGCAGTAGAGGCGACCCTTCCCTTGAGTGGCCTGACGCCTCACCCAGGAGAGGACACAGGGGACTCAATAACGTCTCGGGAGCCACCGACCCGGCGGGTGTGAGCCTTAAGCAGCCGGAGGAGGAGGAGGAGGAGGAGGAGGAAGGGGAGGGAAGCGCTGACCCAGTGCGCTCTCGGGTTGGAGAACCTTCTTCCTGGATGTGGGCGCCGAGTCTGTGCGCCTGCAAAAGCCCCTGGTGCCCACGTGAGACGGAGAGGAGGGCCACTCACAGGACTCGTCCAATCTGAAATTACATTTTAGCTAGAGGGACTCTGCACGTAGGCACGCCCAGCCTCTCCGCGCAGGGGCAGGGCGGTCCCCGCCGGCAGCTACAGCCCAGCCGGCCCACCTCCCCGCGCGAGGCCACGCCCCCCGCCGGCCGGCCGCTGTAAGGCTCGCCCTGATTGGTCCTTTGAACCGGGCCCGGGATTGGCCTGCGCCTGCCGCTGCCCGTCGTGAGCCCGCCCACTGGCTCCGCGCTCCTCCCCACCCGGGCCGGCCCGCGGGTTGCGCAGACCCAAGTCTGGCTGGGGCTCCTCCCGCCCTTGCTTGGTTTTTAAAGGCACCGAAGGGGACTATGTCTGCCCAGGCTGCGAGTTTCCCCTTCTGGGGACACATTTCACAGAACTCATCCTGGCAAACTCTCCATATGTCCTGATGGGTGTGTGTGTCAAACCGTTTACTGAACACCAGGACTTTTGTAGGCTGGTGTAAGAAATATTTATTGAATGCTTGCAATTCTTGAATGCTTTCCTTGTGCCAGACCTTGTTTGTGATTCTTCACAGGAATTTGCTTATCTAATCCCGTGGCCAACCCTCTGAAGTCCTCATTAGATTTTGAAAATCCGCATAACCGATGGGTCCCTGCCTTTGAGGAATTTACAATCTTGTGGGTACTAGACACTGACCTCATTTAATCCATGCCTTACCTTTTCAATAAGCTACATTTTATGTATCCCTGATTTACAGATGCGGGGAGTCAGAAAGGTTTTTAGCTTTTTCTTGGACACACAGCTAATAGGCAACCAGAAGGAGAATTCCAACCTGAGCTCCAATGAGAGCTGTTTCCATTAAAAAGGCAGAATCCCAGGCTGAGAGAACTGGAGACTTGGAAGATGGCAATTGCTGAGTCCAAACGTTTTGTTTTCCTAGGAAAGGAACCTGAGGTCCAGGGTAGGGAAGTGTCTTTCTAAGGACACACCTGTTGAAAGAAGTGTGCCTGGAAAATAACATTGGTCTTATGTGCCAGGTGCATTATGATTGTCTGCTATCTTCACAACAACCTCAAAATAAATAGGTGCTCTTATCTAGGTTTTACAGGTGAGGATACTGGCCCAGCGTGGCTCAGACCACATGATTATCCGCAGTCTTCGTGTACTATATCTCTACTAGAAATCCTGGTTTGGGGTCATTTTCTTTTTTCTGAGTCATGATTGTTCACCTGTCATTCTCAAAAAATACCAAAAGACCTAGCTGTAGACTCTTTGGGATCTGTTCCTTAGCACCTGTGTGAATTGAGTGTTCAGTAAGAATAATAATATTAAGACCTGTTCATCTTACCTTTTCATAGCACTGTGAAGAGCAAATGAGCTAATAGATATCAAAATGCTTTGTAAAGTGTTAGATGTTGAATACACATAAGATATTGCTTCCAAATCTTCTTCAGTGTACCGCAAGAATGGAATAAATGAAATATGCCAGTTGTCTCATGAACTGTGGCAGGAGTGCTCATCCTGGCTAGTCTTGAATTAGTGTGGATTTGCTGCCTGGCTTCTACGGATGGCTCTGTTTTTAGCTTTTGTATATTTGATTCTCCATTTGATTCCTCTTACTATCATACTATCAATAGCAACAATAGCACAGCTCAAGCTCTCAAAACCATCTTGGACTGTGAAAGGACCTCAGAAATGAAAGCCATACATGGAAAAGCAAAAAGGTGAATGAGCTTGGGTTCCTGACACCATGCTGCACCAGACCAATACCCAGTTGTGCATTTCCAGTCCTCCACATGAAAGAAAAGAAACTGTTGTCCTGTGTAAGATACTTTTATTTTATGTTATATGGGGTCAAGCCTAATAATAACTGATATACATAGATTATGTGTATATATATATATATATATATACACACACTTTACCTTGTAGAACTCTTAAACAACAACCTTATAAAGTGATAGATACAGAAACAGGCCTACAGAGTAAAAATCATTATGTTCAAAGTCATCCAGCCAAGTGGCCAAGGTGAGAGAGATTCTGACCTGGGTTTGTCTGAGGCCAATTCTCATTCTTTCTTTCAGTTATGATGCACTGCTTATTATGAATGAATGCATCATTTTTTTTTCATTTACTTCCATTCTGTTCATTTATTTCAGGATGTAGCAAACTTTTTCTGTTAAAAAAAAACAGTAAATATGTTAGACTTTGTAGGCAATATAGTCTCTGTTGCAACTACTCAACTTTCCTTTGTAGTATAAAAGCAGCATAGACAATAGTAAATGAGTGGGCATGCAATGTTTCAATAAAACTTTACAAAATCAGGCAATAGGAGATGTAGCTCATGGGCCTTAGTTTTCCAACTCCTGATTTATTCTATTCTTATGTTCCATCACAAAAATGCACTAGAAATGCATTATAGAAGTCCCCCCCCCCCGCCACCTTCTGTGACATTGTAACATTGCAGACATACTCACGCTATTGGCCAAAATAAACGCAGGTGACAATGTGTTTCAGAAGAAAGATCCCAAAACTGATAGTCATGAAATCTGGGCAGTGTGTTCATGTCTGCCACTGCTATGGTTTGAAAGTGTCCCCCGAAAAACATGTGTTGGAAACTTAATCCCCGGTGCAACAGTGTTGCAAGGTGGTGCCTAATGAGACTGACCAGTCCATGAGGGCTCCACCCCCATGCATGGATTACAGGAGGTAATTCATTATAAACGAGCAAGTTTGGTCCCCTTCTCTCTATTTCTCTCTCCCTCTCCCCTTCCACCATGAGATGATGCAACAAGAAGATCCTGTCCAGATGCTAGCACCTTGATATTGGACTTCTCAGCCTTCAGAACTATGAGAAATAAATGTCATTTCTTTATAAATTACTCAGTCTCTTACATTTTGTTATAGCATCACAAAACAGACTAAGACTGCCATTGATCCAGATCCATGTCCTGGACCACCCTCACTTGTCTCAGTTTCTCTCTATATATAATAGGAACAAATAATATAAATGTTATCCATACTTTCCATGACAGCAAGGAGACTGGAAAGAGATGACATAATGTAATCATCATATTTCAAAAAGCTATAAATGTTATCCTGCCATACATACATTACTTCGCAACAGGCTAGGACATATGTCTTCCTCTGTACCTTCCAGTTCTGTGTCCTTTTTTCTATGACAGACCATATCAAATGCCCAACAATTATTAGTGCATCTGTCTATCCCCTTTCCTCCCTTCCCAGCTCTACATAAAAGATTTTTGCATTGCATTGAATATGAGACTTTGGTATTAGAAAGTCTAGACACTAATTCAGGGTCATTGCTGGGCAGCACGGTGTCATGCAGTGTCATTGTCCACTAAGCACCCCACAGGTCACACTAGTGAAGCAGCACATCAGTCTTAAGCAAGATAGAAAAAGCTGGGTTGTGAAACCCTGGAACCAGCTGAGCTGGAAGTTTATTTAATTAATTTCCTTCCTGCTCAGAGATGGTTCTGTGCAGCTCCAGGAGGTGCTCTCTCTGGTGACCCGTGGAAGACCTGTGATCTCTAACTGAACTCTCTAAAACCTTTTCCTGCCTTAGCAACCTGCCCCCTCATTAGAGAAAAAAGACCTTTTCCCTGAGATTCTTAGAGTCATGGCACAGAAATAGATATCGTTTATTCATTTATTCATGAATTAGTTTATCCATTTGTACTTTCATGTATTCGTTCATTTAACAAAGATTTATTGAGTCCTTACTGTCCCAGGTGCTAAAGAGATAGTGCTGAGATGAGTAGACATTATCCCTGTCCTCACAGAACTTACAGTCAGGAAACAGACACTAAAGAAACACACAAATGTATAATTGATTCAAGTGCAAGTAAAAAGGAAAATAGGACACTATGAGAGAAAGAACCTGACTTAGATTGAAGTCTAACTGAGACTGGTGATTTTAAAGAAGCATGCACTTTATATACATTGTCTCTGATCTTAACAACCCTGCAAAATGCCTATTATTACAACCATTGCACAAATAGGGAAACTGAGGCTTAGGAAAATTAGGTGACTAGCTAGCCTAAGGAAGCACAACTAGTTAGTTCGGAGTAAGCCATGCTTTCTCTAGTACTCCAGACTGCATAAATCAAACTCAGAAGGTGAGAATTTTCCCACCTTCCACCTTTGCACATAACATACCTTCTTCTACCTGAAATGTCTCTTCCTTCATTCTTCTCATCGGATTTATATTCTGTGGTCAGTGTCTAATTGAGGATCTACTTCTTCCATAAAGCTCCCCCTTCTGTTTGAGACCTCAAATAAATCTTCCATTTGAGACCTCAATAAATCTCTTTTCTTCTAGATTTCTGCAACAGTCATCAAATATTACTCACGTGGCACTAAACCTAGAATACCTTGTCAAGTTAATTCTCTTTTTTACGTGCCTGCCCTGACACTGTCACACATAGTCCTACAGGCAGCATAGTGCCATTGGAGCCAGACAGATTTGGGTGTTCTCCCAGTTCTGCTACTTTCTTGATAGGCAAGCTGGAGAAGTTTCTTAACCTCTCTGAACCTGACTTCCTCCTTGGAGAATAATAATATTTGTTTCTTGATGT